GCAGTGTTTTTAATCTTCTTGGGGCCATAAACTTCCTTGAGAATTTGATAAACATGGAACCGCTCCGTTTCACGGCTACTTCCCAAGTTCACTGCACACACAGAATTCTGCAAATGTCCTCACGGGATTCCAGACCTCCTAAAGTCCATGCTTGGGCCTCAGATTAAAAACTTCTTTCTTCACAGCAAGTTCTAAAGTTCTTATCGGCTGGAGTTTGTAAATCTGACTGTTGATCAGAGGCTCCATGGAATCAAAGGCTCCATGGAATTCATAAAATTACCAGTGACTATGAGTTGGAACCTAACGATCCACAGGCTCCTGGGTGACTTAATTAACACACCAAGTAATTAAATTATCACTGTTCCTTCAGATCACTGATTCTTTTGCTAAAGGATAAAGCTGAGATCTGTTTGTCACCGAACTGGGGAGGTGTAGACACTTTAAGCAGTTGGACATTTCTTCTAATTCCCTTTCCCCAGGCCCTCACTAAAGCCCCTCTCAAACAGCCTCCCTGGCCTTCCTACCCCCAACTTGGCCGAAGTGTCTCTCCTCTATGCTCCCACTTGTCTGGAACACAGTACTTACCACTTGTTGCTAAAATTATTTGCCTTCCTAACCAGATATGAACACCTCCTCCTCACTCCAGGATTGGCATTCTCTCAGTAAGAATAACAACAGCCTGGCCGGCGTGGCTCAGTGGTTGAGTGTCACCCTATGAACCAGGAGGTCAAGGTTTGATTCCCCATCAGGGCACATGCCCGGGTTGTAGACTTAACCCCCAGGAGGCAGCCGAACAATGATTCCCTCTCATTATTGACGTTTCTATCTCTCCCTCTCCCTTCTTCGCTGAAATCAATAAAAATATTTTTAAAAATAATAACAATAACAACAACAATAATAAGACAATAAAACAGCTATCATCTGAAAGGGCGAGACCTCAACCTAGAGGCCCTGATGCCCAGCGCTCCCCGCGATCGGTCCCGGCGTCCCCCGCGGCGGGCTCCCGCCAGCCCGTCCCCGCCCATCTCCTGGCACCCGGTGCTGGGTTGGCCGCCCCCGGTCCAGTTTCCTGCCCGGGAAGGCCGAGGGCTGCGGAGAGGGGGCAGGCCCGGGGCTCTGGGGGAGCAGGGGCGGCCCGAGCCCCCTCCAGCAGGGGAACGGTGCCCCCGCTCCTGGGTGCTGGGGAGCGGCCTTCGGCCTTTGGGGACGGACGCCTATCGAGGGGCGAGGACTGCACCCTCCATCTTGCCCTGGGTCCTCCATTTTTGGGCAGAGCCATGTGCTCGGTGGGGCTTCTTCCCGGAGGCCCAGGCCTCTGCTAGCCACACCCAGGATTTCTCTGGACTGGCCAATGATAATCAAAGGAAGTGCACGCCATCACTATGACCACATCCTGTGTAATGAGACACCGACTAGCGCCTGGCCAATCGGCGGGGTCCACAGTCCCCTCTCCTGCCCTCACTCCACCCCCCTATAAAACCCACAGTCCCATCAGGCTTCGCTCTCTCTCGGCCATTGGGCTTACCGTTGCATCGGTGAGTGTGGTCGGGGAGCTGAACTAGTTCGAAATGAAGGACTCTTTGCTTTTGCATCGGACTGGCTGGCTCCCTGGTGGGCCCTTGGGAATCTTGAAATCTGGGCACAACACATCTATTGCTGGCCTCCTGTGTGCTAGGCCAATGTTAAGCACTTTTTAAATGTTATCTTACTTAATCTTCAAAATATGTGAAAAAGTGAATAAATTGAGGTGCTCTTCTTACTACCTCTACCACTACCAAGCCACTTACTACCTCTACCACTACCAAGCCATCATCTTCTTTTATCTAACTTATTGCTGAGTTAGATAAAATTAGTCTTCCTGATTCCTCCCCATATGGTTTTGTTCAGAGCATAAGTCAGATGGTGTCACACCTTTGTTTAAAACTTCCAATGGCCTCCATTTTGCTTAGAATGAAGCCCTGTGTACTTTCATGGCTTATGACGTCCTGGCCACCTCTGACCTCATCTCCTAGCCACTTCCCTCTCATTCTGCCTAGCCACCCTGGTTGCCTTGATGTTCCTCAAACACACCAGGAATAATCCTGCCTCAGGGCCTTTGCGCGTATAACTGCTCCCTCTCCCCAGTTGTGTGCTGGTAAATATTTAACAAATGGCTCTCTAGGGGGGAGAATTCATAGTATTTGCTGATTTCTGTGTGTAAATGCTCTCATCAAGGCTGATTTCAAGCCACCAATTCGACTTCACTGAACACAAGTTTGGGAAGAGGTGCATGTAATCAGATCAAATGCAAGCCAGCGCCAGCAGGCCACTGCCTCTTCCTGAAACTCTCCCCCCACACACCACCTCCTGGCTGGCTGCCTTACTTTCTTTAGGTCTCTCCTGAAATATCATGTCAGTAGAGATACATTCCCTGACTACTCTTTCTAGCACCTATGTACCTACAGTCATACCTCATCAGCCCTGTCATTCTTTCTTCTCCTCATCCTGTGTTATTTTCATAACATTTATCATAACCTGATTTATTTACCACCAATCTCCCCCGATTAGAATGTAAGCTTCATGAACAGGTGCTTCTTTTGTTCAATGCTGCATCTCTAGTGACTACTATGTAGAAGCTCAATAAATATTTGCTTTCAAATGAAAGAGGTTAAGTAACTTGCCAAAATCACACAGCTATTAGGTGGCAGAGCAGGCACTTACGCAATGAAGCTGGTGGTCTTAACCAAGCTGATGTAGCTTTTATTGCCAATGCCTAAATCAGGGCCTGGGTAGTGAACGGTAGGCCCATTCAATGTCCAACTAAAAAACTAACCCAGCTGGCGTGGCTCAGTGGTTGAGCATCAATCAACCAATGAACCAGAAGGTCACAATTCGATTCCTGGTTAGGGCATGTGCCCAGGTTGCCGGCTCATTCCCCAGTAGGAGACAGCCGATCAATGATTCTCTCTCATCATTGATGTTTCTATCTCTCTCTTCCTCCCCCTTTCTCGCTGAAATCAATAAAAATATATTTAAGAAAATAAACTAGCCCTAGTTGGTTTGGCTCAGTGGATAGAGCATCGGCCTATGGACTGAATGGTCCTGAGTTCGATTCTGGTCAAGGGCATATGCCTGAATTGTGTGCTCGATCTCCAGTAGGGACATGCAAAAAGCAGCCTATCAATGATTCTCTCTCATCATTGATGTTTCTATCTCTCTCTCCCTCTCCCTTCCTCTCTGAAATCAATAAAAATATATTTAAAATAAAAAACTAAACTAAAAAACTAAGCAGAATGGACATTATCTGCAAGAGCCTTTGTGGAAATAGGTAGAGACAGGGTGAGGAACCAAATTTGGTTCCCCCATACTACCCCTCCAAGAAAATAATAGCTATTGAGGGAAACCGGGACCAGAATATCATCAGCCATGAGACATTCTGGATAGGGCGGACTATTATTACTACTTTGCAAATAATACCCAAGTGGATTTTTAAATAAGTAATACTGAATTATGTAAAAATATGTAAAACAGGAAGGCAAGACTCACCATAAACTCTCCACACAGAAATAACCAGGTATCACTTGAGATTTTCCAGACTTTTTCTAGGCATATACTGTTTTACAGAATCAATATAATAAGTGCACATGACTTTGTTGCCTGCTTTTTCAATTAACCATCTGTAAGCATCTTTCTATGTCAGTGATGGCGAACGTATGACACGCGTGTCAGAGGTGACACGCGAACTCATTTTTTTGGTTGATTTTTCTTTGTTAAATGGCATTTAAATATACAAAATAAATATCAAAAATATAAGTCTTTGTTTTACTATGGTTGCAAATATAAAAAAAATTTCTATATGTGACACGGCACCAGAGTTAAGTTAGGGTTTTTCAAAATGCTGGCACGCCGAGCTCAAAAGGTTCGCCATCACTGTTCTATGCCAATAAATGTTCCTCTGCATGTTTAGTGGCTTTTATCTTACTAATTTGTAAGAGCCTTGTTTATACTAATGCTCTCTATTGTGGAATATTTAGGTTTGCTTTTTGCTATTTTAAACATCACAATAACTCTTATGTAGAAATTTGTGAACAAAACCATACTTATTTAATTGGATACATTCCTAGGAGTGGAATTCCTGAGTCAAAGGATGTAGGAATCTTTAATTTTACCAAGTTTCCCCAAAGTTTTTGCTCCCATTATGTATTATTCCTATAGCACACATTTACTGTTCTCAGCATATGCTATCTATTAATTCATTTTATTAAGACCCCTCGAGAGAGACTGTTATTTCCATTGACAGGTGGAGAAACTGAGGTGTGGCTGGGCTGGGCTCTGACCCAGGCGGCTTCAGAGCCTGTGCTCACTGCGCAGTGACTCGCAGGCCGGTGATGGCGAGGTGTGTGACTGAACTCTAATGTGCCTATTGTGAAGCCGTAGGAAATCTGCTTAGCATCTCCATGCCAGTTTTCCCATCTGTGGAATGGGTGTTAGCAGAGTATCTCATAAGGTGGTGGCCTTTTTTCTTTTTAACAATAAGAAAATTTGTCTCAAAACAAGAAATTCAGCAATAGTTCAATCTAGAGTTATGCGATGCAGTGACTCGATGTCCTTGCTTCTTCTCTGCTCTTCTTGGTGTGCTGACTGTACCTCAAGAGTTGACTCCATTTATGGCCACTAGATGGGAATCCCAGGAATCATATGCAGTTATAAGGATTGAGTCCTTTTTCCAGAAAGGACCCAGCTCCTCATGTGCCTCCTTGTTAGGAATGAGAAATACTTGCCCTTCCCAAAATCTACTAACAGGACTTGGCTCATGCCTTATTGGGTACGACCCACACCCATACCCAAACCAATCACTACCAAGATTTTTCCATGAATGGGTGGTGAGGAGTCAACCACAAAGATTCCAACATTAAACTTTTGGGAAAAGTCTAGCAATCATATTTATCCTCCCCCCCCCCCCAAGCGTGTGAACCACTGATATTTAAGATGAATTACTTTATTAACATAAAGAGAGAAAAAATAGTTCAATGAGCATTTATTGTACGTTCCAACCGAATGAAAGGCACTATATATACTAGGCACTGAGGGAAATACAGATGAAAGTAAGACTCAACATTTGTCCTTGTCTTTCCTACCATAGTAGTGGGTACAAGCACAAGAATACAAACCACAAACTACTTTGCAAGGCATTTTTTAATAATATTTGATGCATGATTAAAGTGTTATGAGAACAGATGGCAGATTCATTCAGAATGAAATTTTTGTGTCAGAGACCATTACACCGAATTTTGCGATTTCTAACTGTCACAGAGCCATAGACGATACACTACCCCACAAGTTTGAAGAGAACGTTTCATCAACAGAGCTGTTCTCCCCGTGGCTGCCATCATCTCTCACCTCAGCATCTGGCAGAGAGCACAGGGTCAGACCAACCAAAGCACAACAGTGGTTTACTTTCCAATAGACTGTAAGGCAAACTGTTTACAAACAAAACAGCCTTTTAATTAAGGTATAACATACATAAAGTGCATGAATGTTAAATGTACAACTCAATAAATCCTTACATACATATGAATGACGGTAACTCTTAAAAGTAAAAAAAAAAAAAAAATAGTTGTTGACACACAGAAAGGGCTTAGTAAGTATTATTGTTTCATCTGCTGATAGGTAAGAAATACAATCTTGGTTTCATTGGCATTTCTTTGATAAATGTGGTTGAACACTTTTGTTACTTGTTTAAGTCCTATGGTGGTCTCACTATTGAGATATTAAATTGATTTTTTTTACTAATTTGTAAGAGCCTTGATTATACTAATGGCACTCTGTCTTATGTTGCAAATATTTTTCCCAATTGGTCCCTTGCCCTTTAGATTTGCCAACTAGGTTTTTATATTTATGTGGATGAACTTTCTATTTCTTTTGTTAACTTTGGGCTTTAATGTTCTGCTTTTTAAAAAAGCTTTTGCCCAATTACATTATTAAATATTCTCCATTTTAGTATGGAACCCCTATAACTTTCTTTCTTTATATTTAAATCTTTAATCCATACAGAATTTTATCTTAGCACATTGTATGAGGCTAGAATCTAACCTTGTTTAAAATTAGCCAGTCCTGACATTGTACATTAAATAACTATTACATTTTACACTTGCTTAAAATGACATCCGTATCATATAGTAAATGTTAATTTTTTTCTTTTTCTTCTGTCACAAAAATGTCCAGAGGACCTGAATTTAGTTAAGTTCCCCAACTGTATAGGAAGCCTAGTTCTATTATATGCGATAGCCATGGCAGGAGAAAAATATCTAAATTATACATACTAGTATGTATTTCTAGACTGACCAGTCTTTTATTGATCATTCAGTCTACTTCTACTTGGATATGTATTTCCTGTAAAGTTACACCTTCATATGCCCCTGCCTGGAGCAGCCTACCATGGCTTAAAATGTCCTCATACACCTGTTAATTGATTTATTCAGTGCCTACTGTGTACCTCGCACCATGCTAAGTAGTGAACCAGGCAAATGCAACTCTTCCCACAATGTAGCATAATAAATTATCTGGTAGAAGACAATCTTTAAATATTTACACTAATAATTCATCACAGTGTGTTTGGCGCTATGTTTAGCACAATAACCTTTCCAGCTTAGAAGTTTTATTTCCAGATCTGTTAGCCTCTTCCTGCATCCACGAGGCACAGTCTGGGAGATGTGGTTCCAGTTTCCAATGGGAAATACCAGAAAGAACCTTGGGGATTATCTTTAGAGTATTTACAAGGCTAGTGTGAGGAATAAGAGAAAAATATTTAAAAGAGAGCTCTAGAACATTAGAGGACAAAATACCCATATCTCAGCAAAGCCAGCCCCATGGCTGATGAGCTCTGAAACAGTTTAACAAGGTCAAGAATGAAGCAGAAAGTCCACTTCAGTGGGCCGTTTTTGCCTTTGAATGAGAAAACAGCTGTTACCTGTTTTTATTCTGTGCCATTTTTTTCCTGCAGTGTCCCTAGTTTCTACATTTGGTAGGTTTCAAACCGTGAGCAACTGTGTAGCTGAGAAAAAAATTTGCTTTATGAAAAAAAGAAAAAAACAACAAAACATGAATTTTTCCAACCAGTACACTTTATAGCCATTGAGTGGCTGCAGAGGTACCGACAGTGATTAAACCCACAGAGAACCAGCTTCCCAGCTCAAACTGGAAACAAATATATTTTTAAATAAGAGGAGATATGCCTTAGGGCAGCTAAATCTAGGTAATCCTTTTTATTATAAAGGGATTTCTCTTAAAAATGTCTCCCCCACTTTGATGCTAAGAAATAAATTTGATGTTATAATAAAAAAATCCACCTAGGTCAGTGGTTGGCAAACTGCGGCCCCTTGAGTGTGGCTCTTCCACAAAATACCACATGCGGGTGCGCACGTACAGCGCGATTAAAACTTCGTGGCCACACTCAAGGGGCCAAAGAGCCGCATGTGGCTAGCGAGCAGCAGTTTGCCGACCACTGACCTAGGTTGTTTTATCTGAGATAGTTTAAAATGAACAGGTGACTCACATTTTTAATTTCAAATAAGTCTGAAGCCCTAGGCAGGTAGCTCAGTTGGTTAGAGCATCGTCCTGATACATCAAGGTTGCCAGCTCAATCCCGGGTCAGGGCACACATAAGAATCAACCAGTGAGTGTGTAAATAAGTGGAACAACGAATTAATGTTTCTCTCTCCCTTCCTCTCTCTAAAAAAAAAATCAATAAGAAAATAAAAATAAAATACAACTTGGTAAGTCTGAAGTCTATGCTGAAGAAAAAAGATGCCAAAAAATTCACTCATCACCCAAAATAGTTAAGCTTTCTAAACTGAATCTCTTCAGCATGAGGTCAAAGGCAGACTTCTCTTAGAAGATCCCCAAATGCTACCTATTCCAACTACTTAAAAGTCAGCTTCTGTTTCTCCAAGAAACAAAACACATCCAATGTGACATAAAAGCACCATCGACCTGAAATGCAAAATCACCAGCAAGCCACATTCTTTTCCACAGAATTAGCAGGCGTAGATCACCTGCTTCTTGGATCATTTATTTCACTGTTTCTTTTTTTTACTGGCAGGACTGTCCAAGACTTCTATCTTGCCTTTTCCGTCTTCTGAATGAGGAAGCTTGATGTTATCTACGGTGACTTCAGAAGAGCTGCTGTCATCTTCGTCCTCGGATTCGGAACTGTCCTGTGAATTCTCTTCTGAACTGTCCTCGTCTTTTGAATCAGACTGATTCATCTCAAACAAGGCCACGTCCTGCAAAAAACACCACATGAGAAATTTATTTCCCTAAAACGTTACAATAAAAACATTGGGAACAACCAAAATTTAGCACAATATTGAAACACAATGGACATGTTGTTGTTTTTTTCAATTCTCATCTGAGGATACGTTCTTATTTATTTTTTAGAGAAATAGGAAGGGGCAGGGAGAAAGAGGGAGAGGGGGCAGGGAGAGAGGGGGGGAAGGGGTAGGGGGAGAGAGAGGGGGAGGGAGGGAGGGAGGGAGGGAAGAGAGAGGGAGAGAAAAAGAGAGAGAGAGAAACATTAATGTGAGAAAGAAACATCCGTCGGTGGCCTCCTCTAAGCACCCTGACTGGGGATCAAACCTGCAACCTGGGTATGTGCCCTGACCGGAATCGAACCCTCGATTGTTCAGTGCATGGGCTGATGCTCCAACCAACTGAGGCACATTGACCAAGGCATAAAGGACATGTTTTTAATACAAGATGGCGCTTTTATTCTTTTAATTGCCAGAGTCCACCATAATGATCTACATTTACTCTAAGTCTGAAAAAAACCCCATAACCCAATTCTCTATGTCACTGAACAACTATTAACGTGGGCCAGGCACCACACCAGGTACTGGAGACTCAACAATAACAATAAAATCCTTGCCTTTGTGGAGCTTCTGTTTTTAAGCAGGGATTGGCGGCCTACAGGCCAAACCCAGCCTGCTACCTGTCTTGGTTTAACTCATGAGCTAAGAATGGTTTTTATATTTTTAAGTGGTAGAGAAAAAAAAAATCAAAAGAACAATATTTCATGAAACATTAAAATTATATGAAATTCAAATTTCAGTGTCCATAAGTAAAGTTAGTAGAACTTGCCTATTCATTAAATCTCACCTACAGCTGCTTCCAGGCTACAACGGCAGAGATGCGGGGTCAGGACAGAGACAGCGTGGCCCACAAAGCCTAGAGGATTCACTATCTGGCCCCTTACAGAAAATGTTTGCTGACCTCTGTTCAAGTAGGGAAAGACAGCCAAGCAACACTTACATAATCAGCATGGTGCAGTATAGAGAAAAGAAAGAAAAATAAACCAGAATAAGGTAACAACAGGATCACTGGAAGAGGTGACAATAGGAGACAGAGGGAGTCAAGATGCAGAAATCCAGGGAAGAGCATTCTACAAAGAGGGAAAAGGCCTGCAGTCAGGGGAATAAATGCAAGCGCAGACAATGAGGGGACTGGGCAGGAGGCAAGGTCAGCGAGCAGCGGGAGGCAGGATCACACAGGCCTGGAAGGACTTGGAATTGATTAGAAATGAGACGGGAAGGCCCTCGCTTCCCAAACGGTGGGCCACACACACTGTGAAGAACTGACTCTAGAGAAGAAAGGGTGAGAGCAAGGAGACCTGTTGGGAAATTATTCCCAGAGTCCCAAGGGGAGACCACGATTATTAGACCAGGGCCGGCAGGAGTGGAGCTCATGCAATGCGGTTGGATTTGGGATATATTCTGGAGGTAGAGCTGACCAGATTTGCTGACGAATTAGGTATTACCCACAATGGTGTCAGCTCTGTCCAGACACAACTGTCATAACAGAATTCCAGTGCAGAAGTAAGACCTGAGTCTAAACTGAGACGCTTTCCACACGTGGCTTATGTAATGTGTTCTGTGAGATAATGTATTCTGTTAAACGTATCATTAACTTTTACATTTTCAATGGATCAGACTATGATTACCTCTTTGGGTCTGGGATAAAAAAAAAAAGAAGAAGAAGAAACACCCAGTTAGGACATTTACTGAATGAATGCTTCAAGATAACAAATATAATATTTGACTTGGAAAAGCCCTCCTATGACTCTGTATTATTTAATCCCTCAACTTCACCCAGGGAAGCTTACTAACCTATATATATGATCCTTAATCGTTAAATGACCAAGTACCTATGCAGTACTAGAAACATGAGCTGACTTACCAGGAAGAAAAGTAACTGTGAAATGAAAATGGAAAAGTTCTCGCTCTTTTTAGGCGATGAGGCACACTGGTAATTTTACTATATGAAATGAAAACTATGTATAGTTACCATTTGTATAATGTTTCCAAGAGTCTCATCAATATTTTCAATATTGAAATGACCAGGTGGTGCAGCTGCCATTTCTTTTCTTAGCTTTTCATTCGCCTGAGCCATCTGTGGGAGAAAGGTCTGTACCTGGTCCAATACTAAAGAGAAAAAATACAGTTTATCTATACTTATATTAGTATTTGTCCGAAGTTCAAATTGTAAAATCCAGAATTTTCTCTAAAACATTTGTGAATTTAATAGTAATAATAAAAATAATTATACTTTAAAAATTTTCATATTCCTTTCATTTAAAAAATCTCCATCCTCTTCTGAATTCCTTTTTTAAAAAATATATTTTTACTGATTTTAGAGAGGAAAGGGAGAGAGAGAGAGAGAGGTAGAAACATCAATGATGAGGGAGAATCATTGATCAGCTGCCTCCTGCACACCCCCTACTGGGGATCTAGCCCACAATAAGGGCATATGCCCTGACCGAAATTGAACTGTGACCTCCTGGTTCATAGGTCAACACTCAATTACTGAGCCATACCGGCCGGTCCTGTGATGAACACAATTCAGCAATTATTTACCAATAATTTGGGTTTTTATATATCCCCAGTGCTGTAACCTCCTAGAACAGCGGTCGCCAACCTTTAGGACCTCATGGACCGCCAGTGGTCTGCGGACCACCAGTTGGCGACCGCTATCCTAGAAGGCTGGCATTCAACAAATAATAAGTAAATAAGGAGGCCCTATGACTTAATAGTTAAGTGCACCAGGTGTGGTGGCAGACCAACAAGGTTATTAATAGAATCCCAGTTCCACCCCGACCATCTGAATTGCCTTGGGCATGTTAATGATGTGTTTGTTTTTACCTGTCCAACACCTATTCCCCTTTCTAATAGCATAACCCTGATTTCATCTGTCACTCCTGCCCCTCACCCTGGATGTGCCTACATGCTCTGCAACCTTGGCCACCATGAGTTGGTTCAGTGGCATTCACAGTGACACCATGAATTGGTCAGACCAATAAGAGGTCACCCTGAAACATGGTTTGAACTGTTGGGGGGGGGGGGGGGAATCCTCCTTCTGAGTGAGTGAGTGAGTGAGTGAGTGAGCGAGCGAGCTGCTGAACTTAAGCCCAGGGCTGCTGATAAACTGGCCAGCTTGCTAGAGGTGGGAGAAGAGCCTGTTCTGGATTAAGCCAACACCTAGGAGAGAAGAGCTGAGATGCAGAGCAGAGGACCCCTGATGATACCAGGCACCTGGAAGCAGATGTATCTGAAATCACTGGGTTTTACCCAATAAAACGAGCCAACAAAATTTCCTTCCTTCCTCTCTATTTTCCTTCCCTTACTCCCTCATCCCTTCCCCTCCCCTTTCCTCCCTCTCTTTTCTTTTCCTTTGCCTCCTTCCCTCCCTCGCTCTCTATTTCTATCTCCCTCCCTCTTCTTTCTTTCTTTTTCTTTTTTGTTTCTGTTTCTTTCTTTCCTACTTAAGGAAATCTGAGTTGGATTTTAGTCATTTACAGTAACAGGGGTCCTAACTAATACATTTAATTTAATCACTGGAAACCTCAGTTTACTCATCTGTAAAACAGGGGTGATAACAGCCAGACATTGTGCTGCGAACAGGGGAGTCAACAAACGGGATAATAGTTTCTTACTCTTGTGAGGCCCAGCACATCACTAGCTCTCAAAACATAGTCACTGACACAGCTACACAACAGGTGATACATGTCCAGAGTGCAGGAGAAAAGAAAATGGTGGTTAAGGTCAAGAAAGGGCAAGCCCACTGATGTGGCTCAGGAGGTCACAGTTCAATTTCTGGTCAGGGCACATACCCCGGGCTGCGGGCTCCATCCCCAGGGGAGGGTGTACATTAGGCAGCCGATCAATGACTCTCTCTCATCACTAATGTTTCATCTCTCTCCCTCTCCCTGCCTCTCTGCAATCAATAAAAAAAAACTTTTTTAAATGAATCACCAATGTTATATGAATAAAGTCTGAGTGTGATATATACTTATGAGTGTGCGGTACAGCAATACTATGGAGCAATTAATGACCAGAATTGGCTGTTATGTCATGTTACGAGTAACATTTACCATTTAAATAATTGTGCTCAATTTAACAGAACGTGGTGGTGTTTTCTTATACATGTGTATTAAATTTGGGCTCAGTAACCTCTAAAAAAATTTTCCATCCCACTATACCTCCTCCACCTCACCCACACCCCTCCCCCCTGCAATCACCACACATTAATTTTGATTTCCAAAAATTCATCCCACAAAGTTTTTCTGGGAAAAGTTATTACTGCCTTAGAGCAGGAGAATATGTAAGGAATTCTATCCTTGTGCACAGACTTCACAATGTAAATCCCCAAGTCAGACTTTCTCCGCTGGACTCTGGTTGAATATCTGACCACAAGGCAAAGAATGTCCCACCAAATAACTGCTTAATTAGGCAGAATTAACATCAGAGAGGGTTCTTGAGAGAGAGGAAGAGGGGAAGGGGAAAGGATACTTACAGGGACTCCTCTCTATTCGAACTGTTTGAAGACTGGAATTCTTTCTGGAATTAGGCTTGGGGTTGATGAGCAATCTGTCCCATATACCTAAAAGCATACACAAACGCACAATTTATTAATGGCATTAAGAAACAGGAGCCAATCAGCAAACTTTCTGTGACCATTCTCAAGTCTTGACCATCCCACATTTCCCAAAAACGCTTTTAAAAAGAGAAGCACCCCAAGTTCCTTTACAACATGTTAGTTCTTTACATGGATTCAAATCTGTACAATCTATCTTCCCTTTTGTAAGCCTGTCTTGTACATCTCTGTGTCACCGGTGCTAAGTGCACCCTAAACTGCACCTTTCTGGATCAGAAACCCACCCGTGACTAAAGCTGCTCTGCAATGACAGAATGGAGGAAGTGGTGAAGGTACAATAACGGTGAAGTGAGGCCACTGGCTGTATTATACCCCGCAAATTCCTAACCTCCTTGAGCAACGCCGGCCTTGTTAGTTCCCGTTCATTAAAGATGCCCAACCTGAACCAAACTGCCCCCTGGAGAAGTTTGTGCCTCCACTCCGCCTATTCCGTCTCATTATTCACTACTCCTGGAGTTCCCCATTTCCAATACCTGCAAAATCTCCTCCCTCTGGTACCAAAACCCTGTCTGCCCACCAAGCAGAGCCCCACAGTCATTCCCTGCTTCCTACTTCAGGCCTAGCGGCTGGATTAGCGTCTAGAGCAGTGGTTCTCAACCTTCCTAATGCCGCGACCCTTTAATACAGTTCCTCATGTTGTGGTGACCCCCAACCATAAAATTATTTTCGTTGCTACTTCATAACTGTAATGTTGCTACTGTTATGAATCGTAATGTAAATATCTGATATGCAGGATGTATTTTCATTGTTACAAATTGAACATAATTAAAGCATAGTGATTAATCACAAAAACAATATGTATGTGCTTTCCGATGGTCTTAAGCGGCCCCTGTGAAAGGGTCGTTCGACCCCCCCAAAGGGGTCGCGACCCACAGGTTGAGAACCGCTGGTCTAGAGCTTGGATTCTGGAGGCAGACCGACAGGTTTCAAATCTGTTTTGTTCTTTTCCAGCCACAGGCTCTCTGGCAAGTCATCTGTATGATACACCATGACTGTTTCCTCGTCCATAAATGGAGATAACAGAACCTTCTGCACAGGGTCTTGTGAGGATTACATTCTCTCGCAACAATTCTATAGGTAAGGCTACAAAATGGGGGGTTGAAAACATAAGAAACACCCCTAAAGTCCCACAGCTAATTACTCGTGGCGCTGGGATTCGGATTGGTGACTTTTAATTCTCTACTACGGTGTCTGAAGTCCCGTGTGGATTCCCCGGACCTGCCTTTCCCTCTATACACCTCCCTCTACAGGGAAGCGGCACGAAGGGCTGGTTCTCGGAGGATGGAGGGGTGTGGGTGGGATGGTGGGGTGATCCATAACCAGTATCTGCTCCCGACCTGCCCACTGCTGGGGCCCAGGGAGCCGACCCCAAGGTCCTCCCTTTAGGGAGGCGCGTGCTCAGGCGCTCGACAGAACGGGCGCTCAATACCACGCGGGAAATGAAAGCCACACACCTCCCACCCCACCCCCACCCCCGGCCCCGGAGCCCGGCGCACGCCCTCCGCCCGCTATCCCTGCTGTCACCCCGGGGCCCCCCTCCGGGACGCCGGGCCTGGACACAGCCCTGCGGTCCTCCCCGCCGCTTCAACAGCGCGCCCCACGCCGCACGTGCGCGCCCCACGCCGCAGCCACCCGCCCGTCACCTCCGCGGCCGCCGCTCCCCGCCGTCAGCAGCTCCTGGGACACCGAAACCCCGGAGCCGTCCTGGGGGGACGAGGAAGAGCTCGGGCTGCACTGGGGTTCGCCTTGGACCTCCATGCCGCTCGCGAGGAGTCGGAGCCAGCCCACTTACGCCCGGATGCAGGAAAGAGGCTCGGGCAGGGGCGGGGCTAGGGTCGCGATTGGAGGACACTAGCTGGTGGGCGGGGATAGGGCGGGGCGAGGGGCGGGGCGAGGGGCGGGGCCTGGACCGGTGGAGAGAGCGACACCTGGCGGAACCTGGAGGTCTTTGCTTGTGTGGGAAAAGGAAAATTGCAGTTCTTGAAGTGCTGTCATTGGAGAACTGATGGCAAGGCTCCTCGGATTTTTTTTAATTTTTAAAAAAAATTTTTTTTTTTTAAGCTAAACAAATTCGAATGTGAAGAGAGCACCACGGGTTGCTCTCCTCTTTGTTCTTAAAACAATTTTTTAAAATTGTGGTAAAAAAAAAACCCATACATTTTACCATCTTAACCTTTTTTTAAGTGTTCAGTTCAAAAATGTTATATCCACAGTGCTATATAACAGATGTCTAGAATTTTTTCATCTTGAAAAACTGAAACTGTATCTATTGAGCAATGCCTTCATTGTCCCCTGTCGCCAGCCCCTGGCAGCCTTCTTTAAATGTCTGTTTCTATTAGTTTAACTACTTCAGATACTTCCTATAACTAGAATCATACAGTAATTCTTTTTGTGATTTACGTATTTCACTTACTATGATGCCCTCAACATCCATGCTGTAGCATGTGACAGGATTCCCTTCATTTTAAGGCTGAATAATATTTCTTTCTATGTATACACTACATTTTCTTTCTTTTTAAAATTTTTTTTTCTTGATTTCAAAGAGGAAGGGAGAGGGAGAGAGAGAGAGAAACACCAGTGATGAGAGAGAATCATCACGCCCTGCACGCCCAACCAGGGATTGAGCCTGCAACCCATGGCCTCTAGGCGCATAGGTCTATGCTGAACCACTGAGCCACACTGGCCGGGCTACTACATTTTCTTTATCCATTCATCCCTTGGTGGACTTTTGGGTTACTCTTACCTCTGGGCTTAGTAAATAATGCTGCAATCACATGGGTATGCAAATATATCTTCGAGGTCCTGCTTTCAGTTCTTTTGGATTTATACTCATAGTGTGATTACTGAATATATAGCAATTCTATTTCAATTTCTCCACACTTTCACCAACAGTTGTTATTTTATGTTTGTTTGTTTTAATAATGGTCATCCTAATGGGTGTAAGGTGATATCTCATTGTAGTTTTGATTTGCATTTCTCTAATGATTAGTGATGTTGAGCATCTTTTCATATGTTTACTGGTCATTTGTATATCTACTTTGGAGAAATGTGTGTTCAAATTCATTGCCCGTTTTAAAAAATATGTTTTTATTGATTTTAGAGAGAGAGGAAGGGGGAGGGAAAGAGAGGGAAATGTCGAGGAGAAACAACCATTGGCTGCCTCCTGCACGTCCCCCACCTGGAATGGAGTCCACAACCCTGGCATGTACTCTGAACGGGAATTGAACCGGGACCTCTTCGTGCATGGGACGATGCTCAACCAACTGAGCCACACCAGCCAGGGCATTCGTTGCCCATTTTCTCAAGTTGTTTTGTTGGTGTTGAGTTGTAGAAGTTAGTAACTTATATATTCTGTGTATTAACCCTTTGTCAAATACAAATATAATTAGCAAACATTTTCTCCCATTCCATAGTTTGCCTTTTTACTCTGTTGATTCTTTTATTTCCTCTTCCTTCTTTTAAAAGTATTTACACCCACAGTATGCCCAGACCCTTCAGGTACAGGATTCAAAGGAAAAGCAGAAATCTTGGTCCTACCTTTTTCTGATTATTTTTGACAGAATAGGTGGTCAAAGCCAGCCAGACCTGCATTAAACCCAGTCCCAACTACTCCCTTCGTAGCTGTGACTTTGGGCAAATCACTCTCTGAGCCTCATTGTCCTCCTCTGTAAAATCAGAATAATCATACCTCACAGGGTATCCTGGGGTTCAAAGGCTACCCTGATGAGATTATTAAAATGTATATAAGGACCCCTAGTGAGCGTTGGCCTGCGGACTGAAGGGTCCCGGGTTTGATTCTGGTCAAGGGCACGTACCTCTGTTGCAGGCTCCTCCCTGGCCTGGGCCCTGGTCGGGACTCACGCAGGAGGCAACCAATCGATGTGTTTCTCTCACATCGATATTTGCCTCTGTCTTTCCCTCTCTCTTCCACTCTCTCTAAAAATCAATGGGAAAATATCCTCAGGTGAGGATTTAAAAATATATATATATATGTAAGGAAACTGGTAACTACATTATTATCATAATAATAATTTAACATCATACCACATTATTATCAAGTTATAACTTAGGGTACAAAGAATTATGGGAGAAATGACCATAGATGCTGAGGAAGAAAACACCGATTACTGAGTTTTAAAGGCCACTTTCACTCTTTCTAGTTAAAGCCGACTATGCCTGCAAAGCCTCCAGGTAAGGGACAGCACCTCTTCTTCTTTGTGTTGCCAGTACCTCACCTGGAGTTGGGAACATGGTTAGTGATTAACTCAGGTTTAACTAATGAATGAACAGAGAGAAGTTGAGCAAATGAATAATTGTTAATTGTTTCAATGATCAATTGATCGCCTCAGTAAACCAGGATTCCACCCCCTAGAAATGTCCTCTATTTTTATTGTGTATGAATGGTTGACTGACTGAGATCAGAAGCATCCCACAAGTAGTACAACATTGTACAAAATTAATGGAGCATTTCTGGTTTCTTTACTTATTTATTTATTTTTCTTGCATTTTTAATAATATCAGATGCCAGAAATCTGGGAAGGTGACAGGTAAAAACCCTAACATTCACCTTCCCCTTAAGCTCATTAGGTGTAAGTTGTCGGGGAATCAGGGAAAGGGAATGTGGGTAAGGAGCACAAAGGGGGTTCTGGTGATTTGTGGTCCTGGAAGTGGAGCCCCTGTGGGGGTGTTAGGTTTTGATGAATGTATGTATTGCTGGTTCCAGGAACAGGATGGCCAGCCTTATGAAACTGGTCAATCGGCGATCGGGTGTGTGTCATGTCATCCCCTTGTTTCTCAGACCTAATGGATCCTGGTGGTGAGGCATGTAAGTTCCGGGCAGGGTTAGAAGTCTCTTTGTTCTTGCCGGGTCATCTGAGAATAGATTGGCAAAGATTAAAACTTCGATAAAGCTCCTTCTTATTGAAGATATAAGGAAACTAGTGGCCTGGTGCATGAAATTCATGCACATAAAAGGGGATTAATTAGAGGAAATATTTTAATATTGCTATTTGCCCTTTCTCTATAATAGAAGTGTCAGAGATGAAAGAAAATAAATAAAATGTATATGAAAATCTTCCTCCTGTCAGAGTCTGGGATGCACCATGGGACCCAGAGTCAAGTCCCCGCCCACCCACATGTGCCTCAAAATTGTGTGAGACCCAGACCAGGCCGTCCCCCCCCCCCCCCCCACACACACACAATTGGGCTAGATCCAGACCCAGCTGGTCCCACCCTTGTCAAGCCCCACTGAGTGGGGGGGCGCAGCCTCAGGTCCCCTGGCCTGGCACCGGGGTGGAGGGTGTGGCCTCAGGTCCCCCGTCAAGCCCTGCTGGGCGGGGGTTGCAGCCTGTGGTCTCCCAGCCCGGGGCGAGAGGAGCAGCCTGAGGTCCCCTGGCCCAGCACTGAGGCAGGGGGGATACGGCCTCAGGTCCCCTGGGCTGGTGCTGGGGTAGGGGGTGCAGCCTGAGGTCACCCATCAAGCCCTGCTGGGTGGGGGGCACGGCCTGAGGTCCCCCAGCCTGGTGCCGGGGCAGGGGACATGGCCTGAGGTCTCCCGTCAAGCCCCACAGGGGTGGGGGGGGGGAGCAGCTTCAGGTCCCTGCTGATTGCTCGTTAAGGCGCGTTACGGGAACTCGGCCTTCGCTGTGGGTGCAGCCATCTTGTGTTATGGAAACTCCCCGCATCCACTGTGGGCGCCGCCTTCTTTGTGGCAGAGTGACGGGTCAATTTGCATATTCCCTCTTTATTATATAGGATGGGCAGCCATGTGATTGGTGGATTTGTAAATTGGTATGGTCTTGGAGGCCAATTTGACAGTACCTGGCACATGATTGTGGAGCTGTGTTCAGAGCAAGGGTCACTACCTGTGCAGTAATCAGGTCTCGATCCCTTGGTGATTACTCCAGAGTCTTCCTTTGCTCTCACTTCCACTATTCATCAGTCCTCATATGCTTTCGAGCATGTCTGGTTTATAACAATAACTTAGAGATTAAGACATTCATATCTGGAAAACGAAAATTTTTTTGAAAAAATCAGCAATATTTTGAACAAAGTCATAAGAATAATAATTATTCTCAGTTCACTCAGTTCTGATAATTTGCCAGTATTTCCATGAATCTAGTTATTCCTTAGAGTTCCTATAAATCTTTATCTACTTCAAAGACATGACTTGCTTAGAAACCTGTTTCTAAGATAAGGATTTAAGTAATAGGAGAGAGATTCTGGTTGGGTTTATTCAACAGGAAAATGATATATGAAAATAAGATGACTTTTTAAAATTTTAAGATATTTAAATATATATACATATAAGAAACTTGTTGGTTGACTTGCATATATGTTATAGTTATTGTATTGGGCAAGTTCTAATCATAACAGAACTAAAGGAGTACTTGGTTGCTGATTGGGTGTATTAAAAAGAAACAACAGAGAGAATATAGTCAATCCTATATAATAAAAGCCTAAAATGCAAATTGTCCCCTTGGACGGTTGTTCGACTGCTCACTATGACATGCGCTGACCACCAGGGGTTGGTGCGGAACATGGTGGGCGTTGGCGATGCAGCACTGGCAGTGGGTGGCAATGGAGGCATTGTCAGCCCCGATGAGCCCTGATGAGAGCGGGACCGCAACAGGATGGTGGAGCAGGTGAACAGGCAGCGCCAGGTCAAGGCAGGTGTGAGCAGAAGCCCATCACAGACAGTGACTAGTGGTGGCAGTGGGGCTGCCACCTGGCTCCCAGACACTGAGGGAGCCAGGCGGGGGGCCAGGCCCCAATCGATCACCCCGCAGGCAGGATGGTGGAGCAGGTGA